TTATAATTTATACATCTATCATTGCCTTATTATAATTGCCTCTATCATTATCATCATCATTGCCATTATTCTTATTCTCAATATTAGTAGTATCACCCATCATTGTACAACTCACCTTAAATAAAAACAGAAAAGATTAATACCAACATTATCTCAATACTGTACGACAGTTTGGGACGGGGCAACTGGCAACTCTCTGCATCCACTGTTCCTCCCTCTCTCATTGGCGCACCTTATAGCGGCATGGCGGACGTATGATGCATTGTTTAGCATTTGTAGATAAATGTACTATGGCGCGTCTTAGTGGGTGCGTGACTGGTGGGAGGGAGTGGCATTAGTGTTTGGCGACTAGACGTGGTGTGTGATTGGTGGTGTGCGTGTCAGTGTCGCCGGGGCCAGGGAGGAAGGAAGGAAGTTATATTATGTATGGGATAACAACATGCTCGCTCTCTCTCTCTCTTGTCAAGCCTCGAAAAATTTATGGGTTACTCTTGCTTGGGGAGGTGAAGGAAGGTGAAAAAAATAATAAAATAAATGAAGGTTAAAATAATATACGGAAAAGGAAGAGATTGACACACAGGCTCACACATAAGAGGTACTCACCCTGCATCTTCAGCCTGGAGTGTACTCTGGCCACGACTGTCTTGAGTGTCTCCACGTTGTCGGCGGGTCTGGCGGCGCCCTGGGCCAGCCGCTCCAGGGTCACAGCCAGGGGGCTCTCGGAGGTCATCTTGGGTCACGGGAGGGCTTGGCTGGCACGGAGGTAGGTCAAGCGAGGTCGACGATGATGGAGAGATGAAGACGACGACGACGGGGGTGAAGGTCCTTATTGGTACTGAGGGGCGAGAAGTCCAAGAAAAAACTCCTTAACTAACTCCCAACCAGGCGAGTTACAGACACCTCAGTCTCTTCCAATACCGAATACTTCACAAAGTTACTCTCACCGTATAGAAATAAATCACAATTATAAATTTCCTGGTGTTGGGTAGAGAGGACGGCACTGGTTAGGATCACGATGATGTTACGTACACACAGACATACACACGCTGTCACTAGGGTGGTGGTGACTGGTAGGGGAAGCTATCACGAGGGGTATTATCACCACTATGGAACGGTTATCACCAGAGCGGTATGGGAGGAGGGAAGGTTTATCACCACTAAGGATAAACTATCTCCACTAGTTTATGGGTGGGAGAATTATCACCACTACTGGGACGGACTACGGTTGGTTATGGGAGGGTTAAGGTTGACGGGGTGGGGAAGACGGTCTTGTTTCTGAGATGATGGAAGACCTTCACCAACCCTTACAGACTCAACTACCTCCGTTTAAGAAATAATCCTTCACTATTTATTTAATTTACACTCAATGCGTGGAGATAAGTCAACGCCGAGGAGAAGGAAGGTCAACCAGCCGCGTGTATGGTGCTGAATCAACGCGACAGTAACCTCTTATAAACGCCTTCGTCACTCCTCTCCACGCCGCGTTCAGGAAAGTTGTTCAATCTTATTCTGACGTTACTTCCAGGTACAATTCTCACTTCACGTCTTGTTTTTCGAGCCCTGAGACCACCGAGGACGCTGCTGAGCTCCTGCTGGGGGAGGGGGAGGAGGTGAGAGCTTTTATGTCTGTTTTACGTCTTCAGTAGGAGGGTCCTGCTGGTTGAAGAGCTCCAAAACTTCCCCTGATGAGAGCTAACTTGTGTCCTCGAAAGATGACTGATGTTCTTGGCGAGCGATAGCAATGTCCTCGAAGATAACAAATGTCCTAGAAGAAAGATAACAGATGTCCCTAAAGAGCAATAACAGGTGTTCTAGACGAGTGATAGCAGATGTCCTCCTTCTCTACACAGTCCAGACGTAGCCAATATTTCGGGCGCGACAAAGTTCGATTCTCGTCCTTCAGGAGCCGAGAGAGACACGCACCTGACAGACACAACACACGTGGCAGTCTCGACCGCCCACTTGCTACTGAGTCTTCCTTTACTTCTTCACCCACCTCTGCAACGACGTCTACGAGAGCTGAGAAAGCCTCTTAAATTCTGCCGACCTTCACGACACAAAAAACTCACGAAGCCTATTATGTTCTTCCTGCCAGCAGTCCTCACGCTACTCCAGAAAACTCCTCACGTCTGGAGTACAAACTCTCGACTTAAAAACTTTCTTCCTGAACTCTCCCACCAACAACTTTTTTTTTTGTCCTGACGAGGCTTTACAGCTCCGGCGAGATTTAGTCAAATGTGAGATCCTAAGACGACTAAAAGCTGTGGACCTGTTACCGGGAGGAGGTGTTACTCCTTGTCACACACACACCTCAATAACAGCTAAGATGAAGGAGGTGACACACTGTGGTGGCTGCCTTGGAGTCAGACTGGCGCGGGTGGCGGAGCGGAGAATGTTGCTAGACAATGAGGAAGGTATAGAGAAGCCTGTCGGAGAAGACGCAGAAGATGTAAGCAGCGGAGTATGAGGAGCTGTCACAAATGCAGCCAGACACCACCAGCAGCAGTGGCAGCAGCAGGGGACGTCAGAGGAGGAGGCGGGGGCGGCAGCGGCGGTGGTGAAGTTGGTTCCCGCAGCGACATCTGCAAAGAGAGGAACCCACGATCAATAAGCCGTACCTTACATGCACTCCCTGAGAGACCACACCACTACCCTCCCATCCCCGACCTTCGCATCCCGACCTACCGACCTACAACACAACAATAATACACGTAAAAATAAAGAAAACGTCAAAGTATGAAAGTTTTGGAAGTTCAGCAACATCTTTGTCTTGTCCGTGTGTGACTCTGACAACCTGGGTGATGCTGGCGTGACGAGATGAGTGGTGACTGCATACACCAGCTGTTTGTGGGTTACCTCAGTTATAACTCTTGTGTGTGTGGAGTTCAAACAGCTAATACTCCCACCATCATTATCATATTCACTATCACCCTAAACACTGTCACCATCATCATCACCACCACCATCATCATCACCACCACCATCATCATCACCACCACCATCATCTTCACCACCACCAACGGGATAGACCACTTCAGCAGTAATGACGCCCACGAGTTGTGTCTGAGAGAGCCAAGAGTGTAAGGTGAGGACATTGGTGGTGCCTGAGGTGGGTTAGGTTTGGTTAGGTTATGATTATGGTTGACCTCCTCCCTCCCCCTACCCGACATACCCCCAGATACAGAAAAAAAGACAGACAGGTAGATAAATAGACAGATTAAACAGACAGACAAAATGACGGAACCGATTTCTACACCCTCACTAAGGGAGGGAGTAATAAAGAAGAGAGAAATATAACGTAATATGATAAATGTATAATTATGTCAGTATAATCTTGACAGGACCACAAGAGCTAGGTCAAGAGGCCATTGGTGAGGGGGTGAGGGTATGACAAGGGGGTCTTTGAAGGGGGGTTAAACACTTGCCACTCCACCTCACCTGTTCAAATGATAAGTAATTTAACACACACACACACACACACACACACACACACGAGTTGAAAATTGCAACAGACAGAGGCAGACATACAGACACGCACAAAGTTAATAAACAGTCACACTTATCGACATAAAACACGCACACACTACTACTACTACTTTGCTGTCACTCGGAATCGAGTATGACGATCATCCAGCTATGATACAATGTTATGAGTTACTAAGGATGTCTCCTAGGTTGGTGAATTTTGAGGTGACTAAAGAGGCCGATACGGGACCGGCAGGGCAGTTCACATAAGTTGCACATGTGGTGGGCTACATCTAGTGCGGGAGTTGACGGTGGCAGCGTTTTTCCGGCGTTGGCGCTTGTCTGCCTCGGTTTGCAGTCGGGCTAACTCAAAAGTATTGACACCTTCTTGTGTGGTGCTCCTCCAAGCGTTACGGTGTGGAGTGATCGTCTCCCAGGTGAGGGGGTCGATTTGGCACCTTTTCAGTATGTCTTAAGACTATCCTTATACCTTTTCAGTTGCCCGCCAGCGTTACGTTTACTATTCGTTAGGTGACTGTAAAGTAGCTGCTTTGGCAGTCTACTGTCGTCCATGCGGGTAACATGGCCAGTCCAGGGTAGTTGTTCATGGATAATGGTAGCCTCGACGCTCCTACAGTTGGAGTCAGTGAGAATACTGGCGCGCGCGTTCACACACACACACCGTCTAGCCAGTCAGCTCAGGTGATCTCGTGCAGACAACTTACAACATCAAAGTCTAGTGACACCAGTTCTTAATCCTACAAATTAATCAATTAATCCCCACACGACCATCACCTCTTTAAACCATTGGGGGGGGGGGGGCAATTATCTCTATCAAGTGTTTTAACATATAACTGAGAGAAGCTTCAATCATAATTTACCTGTGATAATTGAGGTAGTTTGTGGTGGATGAGGTAGTTTTATGAGTTTTTTTTTAAATCACGTGAAGGTTAACTACCCTAACGCTAACCTAATGTTTACTTAACCTCACCTAATGCTAACCTAAAGTAACCTAACCCATTGTATCCTAATGCTAACTTAACCTAATCTATCCTAACCTAACCTAATTTAATCTAACCTTATGTTAATTTAACCTAACCTAATGCTAACCAAACCTAACCTAATGCTAACCAAACCTAACCTAATGCTAACCAAACCTAACCGAATGCTAACCAAACCTACTACCAGGAAGAGTACATGGCTAAGGCGGACCCTGGTCGATCATTATGTGCTGATCACCGTTAACTACCATCATCACGGCAGCTAATTGGTTAATCACTCACGTAACTCTGTCATTACTATCAGAGACAGACCCAGAGCACACACACACACACACACACACACACACACGTCAGGTCCAGTTATTCATTGAGTCAGTTACCTGTTACAGTCAGTCAGGACATTGAGGTCACAAGTTCGGACACAGACAGAGAGACGGACATAGAGATAGACAGGCAGACGGACGGACATAGAGATAGACAGGCAGACGGACGGACATAGAGATAGACAGGCAGACGGACGGACAAAGACAGGACGGATAGCATTTGCAAGTCCTTTCGAAAGAGTTTTTCCAGTTGCGTCAGTCAGCTTAATGAAGATAGACGGACGGATAGCATTTGCAAGTCCTTTCGAAAGAGTTTTTCCAGTTGCGTCAGTCAGCTTAATGAACGTTTTATCTGAGAGACTAACAACAATAACCTTTTTAGAGAGTGAATTCCGGTGACATTTTTTATCTCTCTCTCTCTCTCTCTCTCTCAGGCCACGCACCTTGGCAATACCCCCAACTATAAGACGCCGGGGGTGGGGGAAGGGGGCGAGAGAATATGGGAGGGTTGGGGAGGGGAAGTTGAGGGGAGGGAAGGGGGGGAGAAGGTAGGGGAGGGAAGGTGGGGAGGGGGGGAGGGATATTAGGCGAAAGTGGATGAAACAAAGAGAAGGGAGGGAGGAGGAGGGAGGAGACACTTCACCTGTCTACCACACCACCTCCCTCCACACCCTTGTCCCTCTCCCATACATCACTTCTACCCCTCCCCTTCCCCCACATCACCCCATACCTCAATAATCTCCCCCCTACTCATTACGCCCTCTCCCCCTACCCCCTCTCACCCCACTTCACTAATCTCCTCCCTCTCCCTTCCTCACTACGCCCCTCTCCCCACCTCATGAGGGGTTGGTCATCAGGTTAATGTACTATACCTGCCAGGCTAATCATTGCTTGCTGTTGATTAACAATCACCCAGGACACACACACACACACACACACACACACACACACACACACACACACACACACACCTCCAAAAATAGCAACAATCACAAAATAACAACAATAACAGAAACCTAACAAAACAAAAACATTACCACATAAACTAAGATAAAAAAAATAACATTCAATAACACATAAATTAATAATAATAACCTGAGAGTGAATGGAGAAGTACATGAATAGGCCGAGGAAAATAACAGCAAATAACAAACAAACAAAATTAGAATAAAAAAAATTGAACAAAGTGAGAAAGAAAAAAGAATAATATATAACAAGTAAAGAACACAATAATAAATAACACGACATAACAAAGATACACAAATTAATAACAATAATATAATATCAACAACAAAAACAATAATAATAACAATAATAATAAGATAAACAATAATAATAACAATAACAATAAGAAAAATAATAATAATAACAATTAGAAAAACAATAACAATAAGAAAAACAATAATAATACTACTAGAGAAAGGTGATAAATTTTTACCCACAAATTACAGGCTGGGATCACCTGGTCACAGTGCCAGAAGGGTCGACTTGGCACCCCCCCCCCCTCATTGCGTGCCGTCTAAAATGCCAGTGGAATTGTTATGGTGTGTGTGTGTGTGTGGCAGGGTAGGAGAGGAAGGGGAAGGGGGAAGGGGGAAGGGGAGGGGGGAGTGGCCTGAACATCTGCACCATTACCTCCACACCCCCTTATCCCCCCTTTGACCTTCTCCTCCACACACACACACACACCCCCATAATGCAGATTTTTGCATTCAGTGGAGTTTGTTTTAAAATCATTGTGACTACAGCGTGTTGCTATACCTGAACATACCTGCTGAGAGAGAGAGAGAGTTATGAACACCGTGGACACACTAAGCTCTGGCCAACACCGCTGTATAATTAATTTTGTTTCAGAATTATAAAGCGAAGCAGTGATATTATTACTGCTTCGCCCTGTGTGTGTCTCCTAACAAACCTACATAACTGGAAAAGATTCTCAAATACTAAATAAATGGATCAAGTGAAGATTAGGCACCTCACCTTGAAATTAACCATCCTAATACTTACCTAACCTAACCTAACCTAACCACTCGAAAACTAGCCTAACCTAATCCCCCTATCACTAACCTAACCTAACTCACCCAGCTAGGATTAGGATATATCTATTCACCAGACAAAATAAGCTAAGGAGTCTAATCTTCACCTGATCTTAATAAATAAATAATAAACATTTATAGCAAACATACATAATGCACAAGACATCCTTTACACACACACGTACGTTCACACACGTACACACACACACGTACGTACACACACACACACGTACTGGCACTACTTACTTAACATACAGTACTTAATCTAACACTGGATGGCACTGACCTGCTCTTACTCACCTGACCTGCCCAACCTTGTAAACACCACTCTAAAAAAATAAAAAGTAAATAAATACAAAAATAAAATAAATAAGGAGGAATAAAGATGAGGGAAAGTGGACATTAAAGATACAAAAAACTAAAACTAAATAAAGATGATGAACAGTGAACATAAAACACAACAAAATTAAGAAAAAAAATAATAAAATAAAGATATATAAAGGTGATGGAGAGTAGACATTAAAGATGGGTACAAATAAATTAGTAAAAAAAAATAGCAGGGTAGTTAATACAATAGCGTGCTGAGAATAAGGATTTTATAGCCAAATGCATTAGAAGATAAACCAGGATGTGGGTGTTGGGGAAAGGAGAATGCACGAAGGTGAGGGGGAAGAGGTGGTGGTGATGTGGGGGAGAAGAGGGATATGGAGGGTGGGAGAAGGAAGGGGAGAGAGAGGAGGAAGGTGGGAGAAGGAAG